TATGCCCAATACCCGCTTTTTTTTTTTTTTTTGAGAGGTTTTTGCCATAGGGCATGTGTGCTCTCTGGAGAGAGAGAGAGACAGAGAAGGAAAGTAAGAATGTCAGTTACCAGGTCAGGACTTGAACCGAAGTCAGCCATGTGAAAATCCAGTGTCCCATCCACCACACCACTTGCTGACCCACAAAATATATATTTTTTTCCCCCAGAGAAATTTTTGTTGTATAGTGCATGCACTCGCTAGAGACAGAGAGAGACAGAGAGAGAGAAAGTGAGAAATCACCTCCCAGGGAGGATGGCCATCCCTTCTCTTTCATTTTTCTCTCAGGATTTTGGGCATGCACCTGGCATGAGTTTCAAGCTGTTGGGTCCGGGACTCAATCTGCAATCAGCCATGTGGGAGCCCAACAATGTAGCCATTCTGCCATCTGCTGGTTCCACAAAATTACTTTTTTTTTTTTTAAGATTTATTTAATTTGATTTGTTATTATTTTTTCATTTGAGCAGAGAAAGACAAAGAGGGAGGAAGAGAAAGTGAGAAAGCAAGCCTCTGGGTCCAGGACTCATTCCACAGTTGACCACGTGGGAGTCCAGCATCTTAAACACCATACCACCTGCCAGCCCTGCAAAATTACTATTTAATATAAAATTTTATTTATAGAAAAAGCCCTGTGATCAGTATTTATAGTATTTATTGCCTTAATATTTTTATTAGATTTCACTTATGTTTTTTAGGGAAAACTGGACAAAGCTGTACCTTTGTATGAATTGGCTGTTGAAATTCGACAGAAATCCTTTGGTCCAAAGCACCCTAGTGTAGCTACCGCCTTGGTAAACTTAGCTGTGCTTTATAGCCAAATGGTAAGTTCCCACATTTTGACTTACTATAAATGAATGACTTTAAAGCATGTAAGAATGAGTTAGATTTGGTATAGTAAAAACAATTGAAGTTATTTTTTTAATCTTCTAATGTTTTCTTAAATGTTTGATAAATTACTGAATTTAGATTTGTAAGGTAGTCTCTTCTTCATATTGCATACCAACTAGTGTTCCATTTAGAACATAGGCTTAATTATTTTAATTCTGTAGATGCCCTGTATCTCTCTATATGATATTGTCTTTTTAAAATTTATTTATTTACATTTAATCACATCTTTACAGTGTATAAAATTTTTTTCCAACACAAATATTATTCCAGCATGTCAGTCAAGCCAAAGATATTACTCTATAACTTATCAGCAAATAGCTTCTCACTTTTTTGTCAATTAAGCATACTTTTACTGTTTTCCTTCCCTCTCTCTCCCTTCCATACTCAACATTTTTCCGTATTTTATTGATTCACAAAATATGTTAAACTAAAAACCCTGAAATCACTGTAATATTTGTCTTAAAGTGTGTAGCATTTGCTTGTGATGAAAGGTCTTGCCTATTGTGCAAGACAGAAATAGTTTTGTGCTATACTGTTATAATAAGATGGTTAGCAAGCAAGGTCTAAAACTCTGGTATCTGACTTTCTATTGTACTGCTTCCCTCTTCTGATTATTCATAATTTCATCTGTTCATTCATATCTTTTAGGATTAACTTTTTTTTTTTTTTTTGAGAGATTTTTGCTCTACGGTGGCATGTGATTGCCAGAGAGACAGAAAGCTAGATATCATCCCCCCGGGGGGACGGCCATGCCACAGTCTCTTCTCTTTCATTCTCCTCTTAGGATTTTGGGCATGCATGCACACGTGCCCAGTGTGAGTTTTAAGCCACTGGGACTTAAACTATTGTCAACTCTGTGGGAGTCCAGTGACTGTTATGCATAAACAAACTAAATTATCTTAGTATTGATTACATTAAAAGTAATTTCAGAAAGCATTATTCAGAAACCAGTATGTTCAAGTAAGCATTATTACTTTTTTTTTTTTATATATAAGAAAAAGCACCTTGAAGCCTTGCCATTATATGAAAGAGCATTAAAGATTTATGAAGACAGTCTGGGTCGGATGCATCCTCGAGTTGGAGAAACCTTAAAAAATTTAGCTGTGCTTAGGTAAGCACACACAGCCTCTTTTAGAATGGCTTTAACTTGACTCGTCATAGAATAGCACAAAAAGTTTACTGCTGAAAATATTTTCTCTTGAAGGGAGGAGGAGTGGTATTTTTGCTTTTCAACTTTAGGGATAATAAAGTAGTGTCAAGTGAAATGAGGGGCTGCATGACCTATTTTGCAGAAGAGTGCTTCATGACTAGTGAAGGAATGTTTATGTTTACAATATGCTCGCTTTGGGGATAATGTGAGCAGTTTGCTGCCTTAAGAGCTAATTCCAGCTAAGTGGGTGTTGACTTTTGTTTGCTCATTTGTTTGCCTCAGGATGCAGAGAATACCTACCTTCCCTTCTTAGTGGTATTCACATGAGGCACTGCAGTGTTCTACAGTACAGAGAGAAAGGACAGTCTGGGTATTCTGTTTTATTGGTCTGAGTGTACTAGAAAAAGAAAGGGGGAAAACGAGCAGTTATTCACAAATTGCTTTTCTGTATCTTGTAAAGTCATTTATAACAGGTAAGAGGTTATATTCTCATTTTAAGAGTTTTGTTTTTTTTCCTCTCAAAGCTATGAAGAAGGGAATTTTGAAAAAGCTGCCGAACTGTACAAAAGGGCAATGGAAATAAAAGAGGCAGAAACATCACTCTTGGGTGGAAAAGCTCCTTCCCGACATTCATCAAGTGGAGACACATTTAGCTTAAAAAGAACTCATTCTCCTAATGCTTTTCTTCACCCAGGACAAAGGTAACAAACAGCAGCAGTTATCATTTTTTGCACATGCGCCTTTGGAGAAAATAATTGAACACTCAGAATGTTAGAATTTAAAACTTAAGAAAATGTTATTTGTACTGCTTTGTGTGACTTAACTATTTGTATAAAATATATAGGGTATCATTAAGTTTGAGGTGTGATTGTGCCTGTGTTGTTCGAAACAATTTTCCCACTGCATGGGATCCGAGGATGCAGACTCATTCGAATTCTAAGACGACAGGTGAGCTGACCACGAGGAGCTGTGTTCATCAAGAGCTGGCAGAAGGTCTGCCAGCAGGAGCTCACTGATACCAGGATTCATCTCCCATGAGCTACATGAGCCTCCTCATTCCTTCTCTTGCTTTTCAGCAGCAGACTGGCCCAGTCCTCTACCTCAAAGGAAAGCGTCAAAAGAAAGGGATCATGTTTATGAAAGTTTGCATGTCTTCAGCCAAATAAATGTAGTCACAGGAATCTGATTGCTTGTTTTAAAAAATTCTTTATGCCTTTTCCTTGAGCAGATCTGGCCAGTACCTCTGCTTTCTATGTTCTCTACACTGTAAGTTGTTAATTTCTGGTTAGTATTTATCTGTGTAATGTCTGAAGTCATTAATGAGGTAATAGGTTAAGCGCTCAAAACGTGGATATGACGGTCTCTTCTATTTTCTTTTTTTAAATGGCTTAATCTGTGTCTTCATTTACCTCAAACTCAAAATACTCTGCCATTTTTATACTGAAAACTATTTTTATAAATTTTATAAATATCTCCACATTTTGGATATTGTTTTTGTGCAGTTTATGTATTTATACATATAATAAAACTTCATAAATTTCAGTACTTGTATGATTCCAACATGTATTCATTATAAAAGTGAAAGTGTAATAATCATACATCACTACTTTAAAACAAAAATAAAATTTCAAGTTTTCTTCTCCCTACTCTGATTTATACAGTGGATCTGCATTTTGACTAATTATTTACAAAGCATACCTAAAGCTTTAAGAAAAAATGAACATTGTTAATAGTTACTGAGTAGTTTGCCCACCTTGAAGAATTTTGGTAGGTCCACAAGGTTTTTGTAATGTTCTCTGAATCTCAGCTACCTACAGGGTAGTCCATGAACTACCTGGCAAGTATCACCATGTGGGATGATTAGAAATTCAGCCTCTTAGACTTTTCTCCAGAATTGCTGAATCAGAATCTGCTAGATTACCCCAGTGATTTATATGTATGTAAGTGTCAGAAGCAGTAAGCGATGGTGTAACTCTCAGGCACTATAGTGGTAATTTAAGAAAAATTAGGATCTTATACGCATCCTTCTTCAAGAGGGAAAAAAGAAGATAAAACATAACCATAACATATCTTTCTGGGTTTGTTAGATATCAAAAGCACAAAGTAATTGAATTCACAAATGCACCAGATACTGATTTTAGAATGAGAGTTTAAAGGAACTAGCAGATGGCATAGCAGTTACATCACTTGTCTCCCATGTAGTCTACTGCAGTTCGAGTCCCAGACCTGGCAGCTTAAAACACACGCCAGGAGCATGTGCATGCGAGTGTGCCTAAGATCCCAAGAGGAGAATGGAGAAGGGACTGCAGCATGGCCATCCCCCCTGAAGGTGACTTCTCACCTTCTGTCTCTCTGGCGAGCACAGCAAAAATCTCACTCAAAAAAAATAAGAGTGAGAGCTTAAAGTTTGATTGTTTTAGTAGTATGAATAATTTAATACAGTTTAAGTAATGTATTAAAGTTTACTACCTTTACAAAACTGCTTTAGTAAATAATCTGAGACCAGTACTTTAGGAGAAATCTGAAAAGAAGAAAACCTAGCTTAAGAATGATATGCATTTATTCTTTGTACCTCTAAACTTTAGACTTGAAAAACACAAAAAAGCAGAAACCTCTAATACTGTTCAAAGTCACTTTATGATGAAAAATTGTAGCTGGAGAATAATTGCACTAAATTATGTATTACAACTCAATACAACTCAAATATTTTCAAGCAGGATGCTTACTACTTAAAATATTAAATTAGCTGGGACAGACATCTCTGTGTATTTGTGTATATTTGAGATTCTCAAGTAGGAATATATTCACATTAATATACACCTTCACAATGAGAAAGGTAGCTTTCGAACAAGTCCATTATAAATCTGGATTGGTAAGATCCAAGTTATAATTAATTTTCATTTATCAACACTTCATAGAAAAGGAAATGTTTTTAAAAATATGATGGGAGTCAGCAGGTGGCATGGCCAGGACCTAGTGTCTCACTTTCTGTCACTGTCTCTCTTTCACTGTCACTCTCTGGTGAATGCATGTGCCCTATTAACAAATTTAAAATTAATAATAAAATTAAATATTTTTTTTAAGAGAGATTTTTGGTATAGGGCACATGCGTTTGCTAGGTGTGATGGAGAGAGAGAAAATGAGAAATCATCTGCCAGGAGGATGGCCACACTACAATCCCTTCTCCTCCATTGTCCTCTTGGGATTTTGGGCATGCACACAATTATGTACAGCATGAGTTTCAAGCTGCCAGGTCTGGGACTCAAACCTCATTTGGTCATGTGGGAGTCCAGCACCTTAACTACCTCACCACCTGCTAGTCCCCCAAATTAAATAATTCTTTGAAAAAGAGTGATGGGGGGGTGGGAATCAAAGCTTCCTTAATAAATATTCTTAAGTATACTTTTTTTTAAGAGTTATTTTTTTAAATTTAACTTTACTTATTTGCTTATTTTTAAAATTTGACCAGAGGGGGACAGAGTGAGAGAGAAAGAGAGAAAGTGAGAAAGCAAGCTACCAAGTCTGGGACTTGAACCACAGTCGGCCATATGGGAGTCCAGCATCCTTAACCACGACGTCACCTGCTGGCCCAAGTGTTTATACTCTTTATGTTAATCAGTATTTGTAGGTATCTAGGGAGTATTTTCTCTACTACATTTAAAGAGAACTATAAATTAATTTTTCATTAACAATGAGAAAGGAGAAGCCAGTAGGTGGCATGCTGGATAAGGCACTGGATTTCTACACAGCTGACCAGTTCAGTCCTGGACCCTGTGACTTGAAAATCACACCAGGTCCCTGTGCATGCGTGAGTGTCCAAAATCCCAAGAGAATGGAGAAGGGATTGTAGCATAGCCTTGCCCAGTGTGGAGTGATTTTTCACTTTCCTTCTTTTGAGAACACACATACCCTATGGGAAAAACTTAAAAACAAAAAAATGGAATGAAATGTTGAATATTATCTGTTGTATCATTTAGAATCTCTGTACAAAAACAATTTGGGGCCTGCTTTTCCATCTTTCACATTGTTGAATAGTATGTACGAATCTGTGAAACACTGTGGGTTAATTTAGTAATACAAAATTTAGTGATACTTAATTTCTCATAATTCTCTCCTTACAGAAGATTTTATGAAAAGTAGGCTGTCAAGAGAGCACTCTGTAGCAAGATATGTATTAACAGATTTTTAAATAATCCAATAGTTTTTATTTATTTATTTATTGTTTGCTATTGGGCCTGGGTGCTTGCTGGAGACAAAAAGAGAGGGAGAGAAGTAAGACAGTACCCCCCAGGGGATATGACCATGCTGTAGTCCCTTCTCCACTGTCCTGTCAGGATTTTGGACACACACATAAAAGCTTCCTGTGTTTTTAAGCCGCCTGGTCTGGGACTTGAACCATTCAGTCAACCATGTGAGATGCAGCCTCCTTAACCACCATGCCACTGGCTGGCCTCAGTCCATTAGTTTTTAAAGATATTAGAAAAAAAATTACGTAAGAATTGTTTGAGTGTACACCAACACTGATGCACTAAGCAGATAAAAGGTCTTTGATGATGGTTAATTCTAGATACATTTTCATAAAAATTTATAATTATATGGAAAATGTTAACAAATTCATATGCCAGGGTTTTCAAAGAATTATTTTAGACTGCATTTTTGAAATTCAAAACATCTCTAGTAATTACAAAAATGTTTATATTTGAATACACTAATTTTTTTTTGATTGTTCAAAGAACTCACAAGGCAATAAAAATATCAAGGCTAAAAAAATTACCCCCCTATTTTCCTGACTTTAATAAACACAGAAGTCACTGTATAATCCTAGATTCTCCAAATTAATATGGAACATTTTTGATATTTCAGACTTTCTGATAACAGTTTTTAGAACTTTATGTTCCAAGTGGGGAATGTAGTTTTAATTTTTTACTATCATTTTCCCTCTAGAAGTACAATTTATATATTCATATCTATTCAAAGAAAAACTGTCAAAGTAACAAATTAGCATAGAAACAGCTGACTGGTAATGGTTATACCAAATGTTATTACTCTCCAAACTCCAAACCAAAAGTTTTCTTTCAATCAAAGATCTCTAAGCCTTCGTTATTTGTATGCCGTTCCAGAGAAACCAGTTTCTACCAATTTACAGTTTAGTGGTCATGATCAGGAGAAATAATATTCTTTGGTGAATGTGTATGTCAGTCATTGCAGGGGCAATTTAGAACTCATGCCCGCTGTCCAGGGTGAACCTTAATAGCATCTCATTACCTTGGGATCAAATTTAAATGACCTATGCAGTGGTAGTGTGTCTGAGGGGTACAATCTAGACAAGCTTAGGCTACATTTACGACTTGCTCTTCAGTAAAGTACAGTGATTCCAGATACATGTTCCGCAGATGCAATGATTCCTACTCCTCGGTCAGTACAGAATGAAATCTACGTCGTGTTTCCTATCTGACTTACCCATGTAGACCACTTCCTTTATTTAGCTTAGTCTTAATTTGAATATAAAAGTCACAGGTTGGGACCAGCAGATGGTGTAACAATTATGTCACTGGACTCGCACAAAGTAAAGTAAACTGTGTTTGAATCACAGACCTGGCAGCTTAAAAAACTCACCCTGGGTGCATGCCCAAAATCCTGAGAATGGAGAAGAGATTTTGGAATGGCCATCCCCCTGGGGGGTGATTTCTCACTCTCTGTCTCCCTCTGTCTCTCCAGCAAGCACATGTGCCCGATAGCAAAAATCTCTCTTAAAAAAAGTCACAGGTTTACAAATTTTTCCGGTGACTACATTTCATCCTATATTTCATCAGGAAACATCTGAAAGGATGTTTTTGATCAATTTAATAGTAGTGGGCAGTTTTCTTGTAGAGAGCAATTCCAAAATGAGTGCATGTGCTAGCTCTCATCTCTAGGTCTGACCTCTTGTCCTCCTCATATTGTAGGCTCACATACTACTGTACTGTCCACATCCTCAGGCAACAGACCATGAGGGAATCAGATTGGTCCCTCCCCTAGTCCAAAAGGCAAAAACATTTCGGTGGCGATGTTTGTGACAAAGTTTATAATGGCCTACAATAGCCCTTTTACATTTTCTTACTAGAATGAAGCATACATTTTAGAAAAGTTACTGATTTAGTAGGGGGTGAGGAGGAATAAGCAGTCCCAGTATTTTCCAGAAGTATTACCAACAATGAAGATAAAATACCAGTTAATGTTGTTTTAAGTTTTATCAGTTAAAAAAAATTAATTTCAAGGAAATCGGTTTTAACACAGGAAATAAAAGACACGTCAGTCCACCATCTATATATTCTTCATTTTGGCCATGAGGTCTTCCAAAGTTTCACCAGAATCTTCCACTGTTACTTCAGGTATAGAATCTTCTTGCTGTCAACAAATGAGGGAAATAAAGAGCCATATAAAATACATAGGAATAGATAATCAGTAAGCTTTACCCATGTTCAACAAATTTATAAAGTAGTTGTCTTTAGAATGCCTTTTAATTTAGAGGAGAGAGATGAATTATTTTCTCCACAACTCTCTTAATATACAAGATGGTAATTCCAATATTTTCATCATCTCTGCTGAAATATTTTTGAAAGGCATTGTGGCTAAAACTATCAATATACAAAATGACAACTTCATTTAATCTTAAAATTATACTTCATTAATGAGTGAACAAAACCAATATATCTATGTTTTCAAACAGTTTAAAATAACGGCCTATCTTTATATTAATACCAAATGCCTGTCTCTTTCCTACTTCTTAATGTCTATAGTATGAAATATTTAAAACAGGAAAAGCTGATTGACATTAAAATTGGATAAAGACAGGGACCAGCAAATGGCGTGGTGGTTAAAGTGCTCGAAACTCCCACACGACCGACCATGGTTTGAGTCCTAGTCCTGGTGACTTGCTTTCTTACTTTCCTTCTCTCTCTCTCTCTGTGTGTCTCTCTCTGGTCAAATTAAATGAATGAATAAATAAAAATTAAAAAAAAAATAGGATAAAGATGGGGACCAGCAGACAGCATAATGGTTATGCTGATGAACTCCCACGTAGTTGACCATGGTTCAAGTCCTGGACCCAGTGGCTTAAAACGCCAAGAGCGTGTACGTGTGTGCCCAAAATTCTGAGAGGAGAACAGAGGAAAAGGGATTGTGGCGTGGCCATCCCCCTGGGGAGTGATTTCTTACTTTCTGTTCCTCTCTGGTAAGTGCACACCCTATAGCAAAAATGTCACCAAAATTTTTTTTTTAAATAGGATGAAGATGAAAGATGATATACATTTTTCTCTTATGATATTTAATTAGTAAATAAGATTTTAGAAGTACCTTTTTTGGGATTGTATATGCCACTGTAATTCCTTCAGGTAAGTCAGGAACTGGACCCGAAGAATTTTTCAGCTCCTCTTCTGAAACCTCAGATACCAGCTCAATACCTATGGAGTTAAATTTGATCCAATAACAGCTTTTAAGGAATCTATAAACAATAATTATTCAAAATTTATATAATCTTATTTTCTCTACCATAAAAGATTTTATTGTATGCTACCATTTTAACTTTTATAAAAGAATTCCTACCCCACTCATTGTCTTCATGTATTATATCTTCCTCCTCTTGTACAGCCTCCTGTTTGGGCAATACTGCAACCTTTTTCTGTAGAAATCAAATAGTATCATAGTATTTTATTCATTCTTAGTTTTTTAGTTGTTTTAAAAAGAGTTTTTGTTATGAGGTGCGTGTGTTTGCCAAAGAGACAGAGGGAGACAGAGAAACAGAAAGCGAGAAATCACCACCCAGTGGGGATGGCTACACCATAATCCCTTCTCCTCTCAGAATCTTGGGAATGCATGCACAAATGCCCAGCGAGAGCTTCAAGCCACTAGGTCCAGGACCCAAAAAGTGGTCGACCATGTGGAATTCCAGCAATGTAACCATAATGTCATCTGCTGGTCCCCATTCTTAGTTTTCTGAAGTGTAAGTGAAGAATTCAGACAGGACTTTTATCAAAAAAATCAAAGTACTTTTGTTTTGAAGTATAGTAAGAAAGCCAAATCTGTAAAAATCTAGAATCCATGTATTTTGCATATCAAATCTGTTCCTATTTTAAGTTACCATCCTACCCAAGATGATCCCTCTCACACATTCCAAAGGATTGACATACCTTATATTCTTCCTGCTGCTTCCTGCAGTTTTTGTCATCACACTGAGGATTTGGTTTCATGGACATAGTAGGAAAAAAATCCTGCATTGCATTGTATCCAAGGTAAAAACTAACGTTTCCAAAATTTAACAGAAACCTAGAAAAAGAAATCAAAGTAGACTTCAATAAAGAAATGAAACCATAAAGTAGGAAAAAGTCATTACATTTAAAAAATTATCTTTGAGTAGTTAAAATGATTTTTATAATATGAAACTCAGAACACAGAAATTTTTTATCTCTTTAACAGGGCCTGGATTACAGGAGATTTCGAATGTTGTTGAAGGAGTAAAGGAAAGGGAAAAATATTAAATGTAGGATGCACTGTTAAATTTTGAATCTGTGGTAAAAAGAAAACTATGACATGTCATGTCGACAACTTTAAGCAGCGCACTGATTTCAGACGTTAAAATGTGGGAAAAGTGTTAAAACCCCCTGATAATGGAACTAAAACTATGTTAATTTTTTTAAAAATGATAGAAAGTACAGAATTTTAAATGTATAGTTCAATAAAATTTTATGTAAGTAATGTTCCCTCTTGACAATCAAATCTAATTATTTTTAAAACTTTGGCATAGAGGAAAAAATCATGTACAAAAGATAAATAACAAAAGGAAAAATATTTGCAAATGCATGTTCCTAATATACAAGGAAAAACAAAAAATAAAGGATTAGCATACAGTTCACAGAAAAATATGTACTCAATCCTTTTCACAAATAAATTAAAAATGAAATGCCTATTTTTTCCTATCAGATCGAAAAAAACTGACGAGTTTGATTACTTGCAATTTCACCAAAGGTATGGGTGAACCAGGTATTCCTACATTATGATGGAAACAGTCTTTTGTAGGAGAAATTTAGTAATATTTGTTTAAAAATTTGCATAAATTCAGAAATTCCACTTTTTTTGGGGGGGGAAATGTTTTTGCTATAGGGCACGTGCGCTCTCCAGAAAGACAGAGACAGACAGAAAGCAAGAAATCACCCCCCAGGGGGGATGGCCATGCCACAATCTCTTCTCTTCCATTCTTCCTCTCAGGATCTTGGGCACCCATGCACACACATCCGGCATGAGTTTAAGCCACTGGATCCAGGACTCAAACTGTGGTTGACTACGTGGGAGTTCAGTGACATAGCCATTACGCTAACTGCTGGTCCCTAGAAATTCCACTTTTGAAAA